TGTGATTCATCATTATTCGAGTCATTTTTTAATGGCATCGAGGTCTCTGTGAAGACACATTATGTTCTTTGTGGAGTTATCTATGAAAATTTCAATTTTATAACTTTGTGATGATCACGCTTGGCTCAAGCAATCATCACTCGATCTAATTTAGATGTTTTGGTATCTTGGCAAGTCGATTTTGTACTTCACTGAACTCTTGAGCTTCCCTGGTCAAGTTTGTTCACATTTGATGAATATTTCCATATTCTTTCAAATTCTTTGTGAAACGTCAAAGTAAATGAATCCTCTTTAGCTCTCGGAGTCAATTGTCTATACCAAGAACAATAGCTCTTTACTTTGTCGGTTTCAATAAGTAAGACTTGCTTGTCTTAAAAAGATTCAGAATCAATCAACTATCAAGAGCCTATCTAATACAGCCTTGAGTACGTTCTTGTCGATGTGACATTGCTAAAGACGTTCGAAACGCAAATCATGCCCATGACTTTGAGCTTCTGCCAGTTTATAATGTTAAGAAAATGTTTGTTTATAATCAAGCATTCTTGACTCATGGCTTGAATAACCATGCCATTCAAATAAATTTCACGACTATTGCTCATTGCTTTAAATGTGAGTTTTTCCGTGTGTAAACGGATTGTTCCAGCCTTAGCTTAAAGGTCTTTAAACAAAGCATACGACCTTACAACTCATGTAGCATCACTTGCTTCAATCTAAGCTTGTATGTCGATAACTTAGCTTATCTTCATTAGTTTGAGGTCACTTCTAAAGTGTAACACTTAAGCAGTATCTGAAACTTGTGAAGATATAATTTTCTAAGTTAATTAGAATATCATGAACTCTTTAGTAAAATGGAATCCCATTCCTTTTCTTTGTTCCTCGTTTCCCATAATTCTTATCATAAAATATCTCATAACCTTACTTTAAGAACCATTTCTTTAAATACCTTGACTTTTATACTTTGTTAGGCATAATTAAGCACCTAGTGCGCCGTAAAACAAATTTCCATCTTTTCCTTTAATTCATGCTTGAATTACTACATCAATGAGTCTTACTCATTTATGTATGAAGCGAAAAGATATGTTAGTTGTCAAATATTGACAATTTTGAGTTTTCAACTTAATACTTCATGTTTTATCAAAACTACCTAGTATTTTGAATACATGATGTTCAATAGTCCATTCGGACTTTGTTATAAAATTCATTTATGAGAATTGTATTTTAGAAATGTTTTACCTTTATTTGAGAACCATTCTCAAATATTTCCTTTACCAATCATAGAAAACAATATAATTTGATTTGGAATTCTATAAATATAAGTGCAAAGTGTAGCCATTTATCAAGTAAATAACATAATAAGTTTGAAAAAGGTATTCATGCAAATTTTCAATCTTATTAAACGTCTTATCCACGCATTAAATTTTTCCCCATTTGGCGAGAATAAGTCGATTCCAAGAACCAAAGAAACATAGAGTGGTTAAGCATGTTTTGGCTTGTCTTAACACTCAATCTCCTAAGGTAAGAAACCCTTTGCTAACGGCTCCAAGCCACTCTTGGTTGAATTAATTCTTGCATCTAATGTTCTCTCAATAATTTATTCATTTTACCACGATATGTTAGGACTCCATCACTCATATCATAGAGTACAACCAAAACCAACATGCACACCCGGTGTGCCTTACGTTCCTAAGAGTAGTGATGGTGCCTCGCTTTGGCGTAGCCCACCATACTTATTCAGTTGGTAAGTGTTGTTTTGGAAAGACAAGTTTTACTCAATATTATTAGGGACCTAGGATTATTTCTATGTTGGTTGATTTAAGTGAACTTAATTAATCATCACAACATAATGAAAACCTAAACATGCATCTAACATATCATTCATATGAAAAGCATAAACATAAATATGTAAAGCATAAGAGTTTGATGCATATTGACAACTAGCATGACCCCTTGAATTCTTCAAGTCTTCAAAAGTTCTTCTTTGCAACTTCATGGCTTTGTCTTCCAAGAACCTCCGTCTTCAAGACTTGACCAAAATTATGCAACTACTAGTATCTACGATTAGGACTAATCTAAATATTAAGGTACAAAAATATCCAACGGTACGCAAACCGTATTTTAGATTTACAAAAATACATCACGGATCGTAGTCCGTATTTCCTTTTCTATCCTAATCGGGCCCTACTAGTTGCCATTTCATAAAACCTGTGAGAGAGAATATAAATTTCATTCTCTCATTCACTATTTATCAATGACCCATGCATTTTACAACGATAAACAAGTAACAATGCATAAACACGCGATAACTAGTAACTAATCTAGGTGGTTAATCCAATTAACGCGCCTAATTAAAACTAGTCAAAGTTGTTATAACCGATTATGTAAATAAGCACAATTAATATTTGAAGTCCCACTAATTTAAATTTCGCAACCATCTTAATTAATCCAATTAATTAAGCCAGTAAAACCCAATTATTTGCAAAAATAGAATTTTTTGCAAATGTCACTCATAAAACCGTGGCCTAGCCTCCAAAATTTTAATTAAAATGAAATAAAATAATTAAAACGACAAATTAAGCAAAAATTACGTAGTTCAAAATATCCAAGGGATTAGCACTAAGACTTGGAGTGCTCACAACTCGCACGATCTCATTGCACCACATTGCTTCACAAGCAATGTCTACGCATATGACCCTTAATTATGTACCAAGATACACACACATACACGCTCAATGCAAGCCCCACGCTCGGTTTTCCCACGGCCAGCCATAAGGCGGCTGCCATGGTGCCACACAACAGCTCCCCGCACACATGCGTATCTCTTCGAGGCACCCAGCAGCCTCGGCATCCCCATGTGGGTTGCATGAGCAGCCTGACTGGCCGAGAGCATGCTTGGGGCTCTTAGGCCTCGATGTGGTGCTCATACCTCGGGAAAACTCCCGATTTTGTGTGACATTTTTCATCAATTCTCAATTAATTTTAGAATCAATTAAATTTGAGGAAAGATAAAACTATAACAAGTCCAACTTAAATAAATTCATCCAAGTGCATAAAACCAAAAATTATTCTAAGAACCATTCTTTAATAAAATTGGTTTAACTTGGTGCAATAAACATAAGTGCGCAATTACTCACTATTAATTTTATCAATTTAAATTAATCTTGAGATTTTGACAAAATAAAAGGGAGTTGGAAAAATGAACATAAGTTCAATAAAGACTCCAACTTTAATACCTGTGAATCCTTGAAAAATTATATCTTCCAATATGAAGATAAACAAATTTCTATCACAAGTTTCAAACTTTATGATTCCAATCAACTTAAAAATGATTAAATCAACAAAGTTCAACAAAAATTCATGGAATTTAGTAACTCAAAGTTTCAATCACTTAACATAATAATTAAATATTGAATCTTTAGTACTTAGAAGCCTCAAAGAACAACAATTTCACACTTAATGCAATTAATTTGCAATTGTGTGTAAAATAAAACCAAGATTTCAAACACAAATTACTACCAAGTAATCATGCCTAAAGCGGTTTAAAATTGCATATAAAATAAGGATTGAACCAATTGCATAACCATCATAAATACGCAATTAATTTTCAAGGTTAGAAAGACTTAAAATTTTTCATCAAAACGAAAAATCCCTCGAAAAGTGCATTTCTGGTTGTTTTTGGCTAAAACTTGAGGTCTGAAAGGAAAAACCCATTTCTAGAACGCCTTTTCACCCCAAAATTCACTATTTTTGGGTCAAAATCTGGGTTCGGGAGCTGAAGTCAGCTCTAATACGTGGTTTAAATAGATAAAACGAGCTACCAATCTAATTAGCAACTTAAAACCAAAAAAAATTAAGCCATAAAAACACCTTTAAAAATATTATGATTTTAAAAATAAACGAGTGAGGCTCTGATACCACTGTTGGGGTTTGGTGAGTCCGACTCACCGCGGAAACAAACCCAAAAACAAGACCGCACTCGCAATAAATAAAATCATAAACATAATTAACTTAATGAAAAGATTAAGATAATAAATATACCTTTGACGCGTGCTTCAATTCGCCCGACCACTAGGGCTCTTACTTGAAAGCAAGCCTCGATAATTCGACGACCTCCAATGATGATCCACCCACAACTCGAACACCGACTAGGCCCAATGCCTTGGAGTTAGCAAGGCCCGACCAAAACCCGAGTAATTTAGTTCAAAGGTTTTCACAATGGTGATGCCTTTTTCAACTCTTGAGTTCAAAGGTTTTCACTACTAGTGATGCCTTATCCAACTCTTACTCAAGGGAACAATCCCATGTCATGCCTTGGCTATTTATAAGGAAAGCTTCCTTGTGAATTCCACTCATCTTTCAATGTGGGACTTTTTCACAAAAAGATCCCACATGGAAAGATTGATGAATTCAACCCTTAGTTAAATAAACTAAGGAACAAGTAACAAGTGTCACATGGTTAGGTGAGGACCACTTTATCACTTGGTCCCCAAGGCAACTCACATGCATTGTGAGCTAACTAAGTGTAACCCAACCTTGAGCCCCAAGTTGGGTTCGGTTGGGCCACTTTCTTTTTGCCCGTGTCCATGACCCGTCACCCGAGTGCACGACCCTTTTGCCACATGTGTTGCCACCATGGCGCGCTGCCACTTGGTGGCTGCCAACGTGCGCTGCCACATGGTGTGCTGCCATGTGTGCTGCCACGTGGTAACTCCTATTTGGCGCGCTTCCGTTGTTTTTGCGTGGCTGGGGTTTTTTCTTGTTACTTGAAGCATTTTCCCGCACTACCACAAAAGTGGAAAAAGCAACACATAATACACAACGGTCAAGTTAGATAGGCGATCTCTAGACTTCTATAAAACGCCCATGTAAGATATGCGTTTTGTATCCTAAAACTTATAGAGCACCTGTGTAAGTTAACCCTATACAATTTTTTATTATTTTAATCAAATTATGACTTTACAATATAAAGCGCCTTACATAGTTCACCGTTCTATACAATTTTAACATGTTAAAAAAATCATTTTAAAAATGTTGGCAAACCTTAGAATCCCCACTACTTTCCTGTTTCTTATTTTTGTCTAACCCCTCCTCAACCAGCCGTTTATGGCTCTCTCTCTCTTCCCTCTCCTCAAAATTTTAGATCTAAAACTATGGCATGGTGAGATAACAAGCAAGACAAAACCAAAATTCAATTATCTCTCTCCCTGAACAACCCCCATGGTCGCTTGAGTCGGACGACACGTTTGGGTCGGGCTGTGATCCGAAGCGACACCGTCTCCTCCGCTCTGCGCTGTCAATTTAACTGTCATTGCCCAATCCTTCATATAGGTTCACTTCTCTTTCCTCTCCTTGAATTCACATGAGCATCGATTTTAATTGCCAAATTTTGTTTTGATTGTCGAATTTGAATCTACATTGAAGCAACTTACTAGATCTGATTTTCGTTTTAATTTCAGGTTTTATTTAAGGTAAACTTCATTTTCTATTGAGATTAGTTTTTAGTTTCATTTTAATCATTTAAAAACTTGTTTTTCTTTTAAGTGTCGGGAGGGGTGTAGAGTGCAACCCAGATCAGAGCACTTCAGCAAATGGGGTCCACATGCGGTGCCGGACTAGCGAGTCAGCGCAGTCGTGAAGAATGACATATTCTATATAGTTAGGTATGGGTATGCGGTATGTTGTTTATACTTGTTGATGATTAATTGAGTATTGTTAATTTGGACAAGAATTAGTAAAAGCTAAACCTTGGTTAGCTACCTTAACTATCTTTTAAATCCGTTAATATATTGTTTCTTCCATTAATTATGTTAACTTATACGGAGTATTTGAAAATGATGAATTTAATAATTATCCTCTCTTTAAGGATTTTTTGTGTTGGTAAATGATGAAGTAGCTGACATGGTGTAGATTAATTAATTATAGTGTTTTTCTTTGATGAATCAGATCTGCTGCGCTGCGCATCTCGCTGCTGATGAGTTTCGTTCACTTGTTGAGTTTCTTTACTAATGATGATGATGACAGTAGCTCAATTGTACAAGTATTTATTATCTATTGTAAAATTTGTAATTTTGTTTTCTTGGAAGAAATTTAGTTATTGTAATTAAAATATCGGTTATTTTAATTAAAACTACTCCATATAATCATTATAATGGTATTGCTACTCCGTATTAATTATTATTTTATTATTATAATAATAATAATATAATAGTTTTTTTTAACAAAAAAATTAAGGAAAAGAGAGCGCCTATCCTAAGATGACAACTCTCTTTTCCTTGTTTTTTATTCACTTTGTACATTAAACATGAAGCGCAGGCGATCTGTATTGTATTAGATATAGAACGCCTTAAAGAGGCGTTATGTAGACTTTATAGGGCACCCCCTCAGAAGAACGTCTCTGAGGCGTTCTATATTGCTTGTTTTAGACGTTCTATATTCATGTGTTTGTAGTAGTGCGCCATCTCGCCAATTCATAAATTTTGACTCGACATTTGAGATTTTCGACGCTCGGTTTCGACGCTTTAAGCTTGAATTTCCGAAGTCTAAATATAAATTACACGAACGACTCATTAATTCCTTCCAAATTAATTCGTCGCTTCGGCTCGTTAGTTGCTTAGGTGTGACCCGAAGGATTCAGTTAAGATTAAGCTGTAATATTAAATATGCATTAATATTACTGGTAGGAAGCGGCCTCCACCCAGGCATTCCGATCACTTGACCTTACTGAATATATTAGCTTTCTAATAATTCTGAACCCACTATCAGAATAATACACTTGCTCGAAGGACACCATTCCTTTCATATTGCCCAACCACCATGGACCGCCACCCTCCTTCCCCTCCCTCTTGGACTGCCAGCAGGTCGGCAGCCGCCGTGGCTGCGCCACCCAGCTGCAGCTGCCGGCCTTAAAGTATTTTTAATGTTTGGTTTTAATTTAATTAAAATAAAATTATAAAAATTTAATTAAATCAGTCCACTAATTAAAATTAAATCATCATTCAATGTTAAAATTAGGGTTTATCATAAAATTAATTTCAATTAAATTCTAACTCTTAAAATTAAATCGATGATTATACACAAAACATTTTTATGCATAAATCATTCCAATTAAAATTATGAAACATATTTAGAACGAAATCAACAAAAACAAGCATCAAAAATCATATTTTTAAGGCTTATATGGTTCGAATTTTTCGAATAAATTAGGGTTAGGGTTCGAAAATTTTGAATGAACTAGAGCTTAAATTAGTCCTCTTCATGACTATTTTGACCATAATTAAATCATATTCAATCAATTCCAAAAGTTTAATCACATCAAAATAATAATTGAACCATAATTAAATTACTTTCTCCCTCTTAATTGATTATAAAATTAACATGGACTTCAAATAATCGTATTATTATAATCTAACGCGTTCATGCAAGAAGCTAACTGATACCACTGTAGGATTTTATAGGTACTATAAAGCGGAAAATCATGAATCATATTCATAACCCACCTAATCCCAAGATCGCATGCATAACACACAAGACACATACTTAACCTTTGAAGCATGAATTCCACAAAGCTATTTGACAGGCAAAACATGCAGGGATAGAATAAAGCCCCAAGCGTTGCTCCTTTACTTGGTCCACGGGATTCAAACGAGCAGTTCACCAATACTAGATTGGTCGAGCAAAGGGAAGAACCACGATCACCACCATTAACGGACAACCGACCACCACACGAACCACCACCACCATGAACCACCACCGGCGCCGAGGAGGAGAGGGAGAGAGAAAGAGAGAGAGAGAGAGAAAGAAAGAGAGAGAGAGAGAGATTTATAATTAGACTTAGTCACGAAGCCCAAAACCCCGGCAAGGTCTCGTGTTTGCTAACTCAGGTTTTTGGTCTTACTGATCAATTGAATTCAATGTGTGAAAACCCTTGGAACTTAGTCTATTTATAATCCCATTATAATTAGACTTAGTCACGAAGCCCAAAACCCTTTCTAAACCTCCCTGTGGCCGGCCACCTAGAGTGATGAGGCCTGTGATGGGTCTCGTCCTCTAATGCTCAATCTAGGCCCTTTTGTGTGACCTTAAAGGATCTGTCCATTTGGGCTTTGGCCTAGTTTACTAGCCCAAAGATCGTTAGTACCTCTAGCTATGATATAACGACAACCAAACTGTACGAACTTAATTATCTGATCTCCATAATTTGATCCATGTATATATCTAGTAATTGCACGCGATGAAGACATAATTCCTTTAACTTTTGTGTAAATCCTTTAGCAACAAGCCTGGCCTTAAACCTCTCAATGGTGCCATTCTTTTTAAACTTCACTTTAAAGACTCATTTACAGCAAATATCCTTCTTTCCTTTAGGCAAATCAGTCAAAACCCAAGTATTGTTAGTAGTGAATGCATCAATCTCCTTTTTCATTACATCCACCCACCGTGAATAAGAAGAAGCTTCCAAATAACTAGCAGACTCAGAAACCTTGGATGAAAAATTCAATTTGCTCTTTCTGAGAAGCTGGTAACTCCTCAAATTTCACAACATTACACCGGTGAGGATTGTCTATAGAAAGACATACATAATCAATCATCCATGCTGGTTTCTTGACAAGTCTATCAGAATGTCTTTATAGGTGCAAAAACTGCACTTTATGAGACAGAAGAGATGGGGATAGGATTAAGGATAGGTTCAGAATTGGTAGGGATATTTTGTGTATTTTTTGGGGATTCAGGTTCATTTTGTGGAGTTTGGGGAGTGGAAAAGGTAAGGAAGGAGAAAACATCTGGAATCCCAATATCATAAAGAGAATTAGATACAGTTTTAGCAGGGAGAAAAATAGGAGAAGACTGTTTGTGTTGGATTGCAGAAAGGTGAAAATGGCAGATGCTTTTCATGAAAAATGATATCCTTGGAGATAACTATCTGAAACGTTTCTAGGTTCAACATCTTGAAACCTTTCTGATTTTATGGGAAACTAATCAAAACACAAGGAACATCTCTCACATCAAACTTAAACCTGATACTTTTCAGAGTAGACACATATCCTAAGCAACCAAACACTTTCAAGTTACTCAAATCAACCTTTTTATCATTCAACCTCTCAAAAGGAATCTCAAAATTGATGCTACTCAAGGGCGTTCTATTAATCAAATAGGTGACATTCAATAAACACACACCCCAAAACCTTATTGGAACCCTAGACTTAAAGTATAAAGTCGTTGCAGTCTCCAAGAGATGCCTATGTTTTCTCTCCACAACATCATTCTGTTGTGGTGTATCCACACAACTCCTTTAATGTACAATCCCATTGGATCTGTAAACATTCAAAATCTTACCTTCACGGAGATTTTTGGCATTATTTGTCCTAATTGTCTTGATAGTCATCCCAAATTGTGTAAGATCATCATATTGAACAACGCACTCAAAATATCAACTGAATAAGATTTATTCTTCATTAAAAATGGGAAATTTTTTAAATTACCACCCAAAAATGTAACCATTTTTGAACTAACCACCCGTTTCATTTTTTATTTTAAATTACCACCCCTTAAATTAAATAAATGCTCAGATTACCACCCATTTCAAAAATCCGGTGGATTTTCCGGTTGTGGGACCCACCTAACGTTTATTTTGACTGATTTTTTCCCGATTTTTCTCTTTAAAAAAACTCTCCTAACTTCAATTCACATTCTTCTCTTTGAAACTTTGTAGAATTTGATGAAAGAAATGTGAATTAAAGTATAGAAAGCGTTTTTAAAGAAAAAAATCGGGGAAAAAAATCAGTCAAAAGGGTTAAAATAAGTGTTACCTGGGGCCTACAGATAGAAAATCCACCGGATTTTTAAAATTGGTGGTAATCTGAGCATTTATTTAATTTAAGGGGTGGTAATTTAAAATAAAAAATTAAACGGGTGGTTAGTTCGAAAATGGTTACATTTTTGGGTGGTAATTTAAAAATTAACCTTAAAAATGTCCAAGTATTTCTTGAGTAATCATCAACAATTGTCAAGAAATATGTACAATTATCATGAGTCTTAACTCTAAAAGGACCCCAAACATCTACATGAACCAACTCAAAACACTTATTTGTCCTGCTACTAATCTTAAGATAAAACTGTCTACATTATTTAGCCTTTGGAAAAATTTGGTAAAACACGTCACAACTCTTAGAAGTAATATTAGGAAGAGAATTATTTACATAATGAAGCTTATCAAAAGGTAAATGTCTTAGTCTTAGATGCCATTGCTTAACATCTTCACTTATGGTAAGTAAGGCTTCACTCCCAAACTTGTCATTTCCTCCACTACTAGAAAAAGGGTCATTTCCGACGGAAAATTTCTGTCGGAACCACCCCAAAATCCGTCGGAAAACCTGTTTCCGACAGAATTCCGTCGTAACCGGTTGTTGGAAAAGCTGTTGTAGGAAATTTGTCTTCTTCCGACGGAAATTCCGTCGGAAACACTTTTCCGACAGAATTTCCGACGGAATTTTCCGTCGAAAGAGGTTTTTCAGCACCAGGAAAATCCGTCGAAAATTTCCGACAGAATTTACAATTCGGTCGGAAATTTCCGACGGAAATTCCGTCGGAAACTGGTTTTAAGAAATTAAAAAAAAACGCCGCGCCACCAGTACGGCACGGCGTATCAACCACCACCAACCACCAAATAACTCCCCACCACCAACCCATAACCTGTCCCGTTACACGACCCACACCATCAAAACCCCTACCCACACAAATTACCTAAGAAAACCACCTCACCACCCACCTAAAACCACCACTGCCGCCACCACCACCAAAACAAACTGTCACAACCCAAAAATTAAACAAAAAAAAAATTAAAATCCCAACACAACACCTAGAAACCCGAAAAAATAAACTAAAACCGACCCACGTACCCTCTTAACCGACCCAAATCTAACCAAAAACCAAACCACCATGGAAACAAGCCACCACAACCACACCGAACACCCAACAACCGCAAAAAAATAAAAAAAAATAAAATAAACTACCGCTACCCTGATCAACCAAAAATTAATAAAAAAAAAGTACAAACCTTGAATTTCACCAACAAAACCACGAAAATGGCTCGAATTTGGGTTTTAAAGGTCAAATTCGACCATGAAAACTCTAGAGTTTTCATGGT